TACGACCACAATTGAACCCAATATTTCTGTTGCTAAAGGAAACATTTGTTAAATGAATTTTGCCCCATTTTACAACTTTTCTTACTACAGTTGTTAAGTGAATCACTACAGTTGTTAAGTTAGTATCATGGTGAATCTGACTTCCCCATTGAGTTTGCTTGTCAGAAGGTCGCAAAAGGTGGATCGTGTGACCCGAGGACTCTGTAACCGTCATAAATATGAATCAGTTGCCAAGCATCTGAATTATGATCACATGACCATGGAGATACTGAAATGGTCGTAAGTGGGGAAAAACAGTCATAAGTCACTTTTTTTCAGTGCACCTGTAACTTTGCACAGTCACCTGTATATTTGCAGAAATATAAATGAAGCGCCTACGCAACTATCCCCAAACGACAGACGCACAGGCTCCCTGATGTGCAGTGATGGAGAAATCTAATCCAGGCTTAATCCTGCTGACTAAGGAATGCTTGTGCTCTCAACTCCGGCTAATCTAAGGCTTGCTGGTGGGTTTATACTTGTTAAACCAGGATATACCTGTAGATTGCCCGCCTAGATAAAGCATAGAAGCACAAGAATGAAAAGCTTATAAACAGCATTCCTGTGTTGCATTTTTCACAGTTTTGCCCTCTCATATCCCTCAAAAAGTCACTGTGTTTGTGTTCTCTGAAGGTGGGGAACAAAGAACACAGACTTTGCATTCATCCTAGACAAAATCCAACTTAAGAAACAGACTAGATGTAGTTCAGAAAGGGCAATAATAGCTCTCTGGCTGAAAGTAGCGAAGTTCGACCCATTGCCGATTCATTCTCTCTGGTGGCAACACCAACCTTCGGTAACAGTATGAATAAGAGTTTTTGCAAACAGTGGTGAATTATGAATAGTAACAGACAAATATGGCTTAATTCGTGTAGGGTTTAAACCATGATCTGTAGATCAAGTCATAATGGTCTGATTCACAAATCACACTAGCCCACAATGGCCAAGTTCACCTACTACGCCAACCTAAGGGCAGCAACGTAATGAAGGGTAAAGTGGAAAATAAGAAATTGGCAAATAAGATGTAGCTTCTTGAATTTGATTGCACAAGCAGAACAGAGCAACCACAGTGGGAAAGCCCAAAATTTGACAGTGAACACAAAGCCATAATAAGTTGGCTTGATTTCAGCTCAGTACGATGTACAATCAGGTTACCATGGATTATGAATTAGGGTTTCAGGTAAGATATGTGTGGATCTAGGGTAGCTTGGCAAATTGAAAATGTGTGGACTTCAATCCCCAGAATCCCCCTGGCTGGGAAATTCTGGGAATTGAAGTCCACACATCTTCCAGTTGTCAAAGTTGAGAGATACTGATTTAAGGAAACGTGAATTTGATCATAATCTATTAATAAGATAATCTTCAAACTGCAACATTCCCCAACAGTTCCAAAGGATCTCTCCAGCTGGGTTCAGCCACGGCTTATTCAACTATTCTTCTTGAATGGGCCAAAATAAGATGAGTTTGAACACACTAAGCCAAGAAAAATGGGCTATACAACAGATTAGTGTGATGAGCAACACAAATATCTGAAGTAATTTTAGGAGCCTCAGTTTCCTCTTAGGAAGGTTGAACAAACATCCACTTTCCTACAGTCTGTGGAGAGTCTCTGAGGTTGCCACGTCTTCCGAGTCACAAATAGGGATTTCTCCATGATGTTCAAGACATTCCTGAGAATTGAAATAGAACCAAAATGCCCAGTGTCCAGGCTAGCCAAAAAATTAAAAAGTGCAAAATTCTTTCTCATACACATTATTTCTAAAATTGCAGCTGGAGAAAGTTTGACAATGAATCTTAACTGCAAACAAAATTACAGCACAGCCACACCCCCAGCTTCAAAGCCTTTAAACCACAAGTATTCAAACTTTTTCATCCCTCAAGCATTAATTGGGAGGGGGGAGGAGAGGGAGGGAGGGAGGGAGGGAGAGAGAGACTTCAAGCTGTGTTAGTCTAGAAATGCAATATTCTTTGTCCTAATAAATACTCAAGCTAACTATAGTCATAATTTTATAGGAACCCCAGTATCCACAAAAGCATAACACATTCATTACTGTAACTATCAGTGCTTGCCTGGGGAATGGAATTCAAGGCTATGTGTGCTTACATAAAACAAACAAACTGGAGTTGGTATGCCTTTTAGTTTAAGACCAGACATACATATATCAAAGCACAAAGCACAGATCCTTCGCCAAACCTTTCAGAAGCAGATTTTTTGATTCTCACATAGCAGACACACTTCCAAGGAAAGGACAAGAAGCTGATTAAAAGCAGCATTTCCAAGGATAGAGGATAATTTCTTCAAATCCATGACTTCCCCTGCTCCCTCTGAACTTTAGAACAGAAGCTGTGCCAGGCTGGATGGGACCCGTGACCCATCTAGCCGAGCTGCCTTTTCTCCCAGTGGCCAACCAAGTACCTGAGGAAGCCCACCTGTCTCCCAGCAGATGGGCTCTAGAGCAGGGCTTTTCAACCAGTGGTACGGGTACCACCTGTGGTACGTTGGCACCTAGCAGGTGGTACATGACCATCCTAGAAAAGTGGTAGCGGGGGAGGGGAATGAGCTGAACCAGTGGTAGCACCGCACAAGCCTGAGCGAGAGATGGCTGGAGCTGCAGGGCTGTCAGGCCTCAGGGGAAGCGCCAGGATCAGCACTTCTTCGGGGCTGTCAGGGCTCAGTGGAAGCGCCAGGATCAGTGCCAGGCTCCAGCTGGAAAGCAGCACTGATCCTGGTGCTTCTGCTGAGCCCAGAAGAAGCTCTGATCAGCTGGAATGTTGCAGCATCTCCAGGCTCTTGTGATTTACATTCAGATGCTTGGCAACTGATTCATATTTATGACGGTCACAGTGTCCCAGGGTCATGTGAAGTGACCAAAACCTGCTGCAACCACCCAGCAGATGGGGGGAAATAAAAACCAAACACCCCCCCACCCCACCTCCGCTGCCAATCCCCAACAGAAATGCTCACAACAATGAAAACCTCGGACAGGAGGAAGAGTGCCGCCGGATGGGCAGGCAGATGTCTTGCTCGGCTGTGCCTTGGGGGGGGGACTTTTTTCAGTGCCATTGTAACTTCGAACAGTCACTAAGCGAACTGTTGTAAGTCAAGGACTACCTGTATTTTATCACTTTTTTCCTTTTTTGGGGGGTCATCAAGTTTTAGACCCCTTGCTAGGCGACTCGCGGTACTTGGATGTTGCCATATCCTAAAAGTGGTACAATGGGTGAAAAGGTTGAAAAGCCCTGCTCTAGAGAAGATAGAGAAGAGAAAGAGAAAAGCAGTAACAGAAGTGGGCTGCTGAAAGGGAGGTACCCTGGCCCATCTAACTTCGGCAGCCTGTAATCCTGGTGGCTAACTAAAGGAAGTTCAGGTGTCTCCCAGCAGATGGCCTTCAGAGGAAAAAAAAGGAAGAACTGACCACGTAAGACAGTGGTTCTCAACCTGTGGGTCGGGACCCCATTTGGGGTCGATCGACCATTTCATGGGGGTCGCCAAGCAAAGCTGTCCGCCATTTTTTTGTCCGCCATTTTTTTCCCCTTTTCCGGTGGGTGCCTTACCTCCCTTGGGCTGGGCCAGCTGGTGGTCGGCCTGCTCCGTCTCTGCCGCTTGCCAGCTACGCCTCAGCTGGCGCAGGGGGCGGAACCATGCATGCGCAGCGCTCCCGGGCAGGGAAAGTCCTCGACTTACGACCGGTTGGGTAGTCCTCGACTTACGACCGGTTTAGTCCTCGACTTACGACCGGTTTAGTCCTTGACTTACGACCGGTTTAGTCCTCGACTTACGACCGGTTGGGGTCGCGGCATTAAAAAGGTTGAGAACCACTGACGTAAGAGGTACCCTGCTGGATTGGACCGCTGGTCCTTCTAATCCAATGTCTGTGCCAAGAGGCAACTGGACATTCTTTGTTTGTCCTTGAAGACGTTTCGCTTCTCATCCAAGAAACTTCTTCAGTTCTTCGTTCAGAGCTGAAGAAGCTTCTTGGATGAGAAGTGAAACGTCTTCAAGTCCAGTTGCGTCCTGAAAAAGCACCTCTGGGACAACCTTGACCTGGGTGACTGAGAATCTTCATGGACATTTAATCCAATGTCTCCTCACACAGGAGCCCATCCACTGCCCAAGGGAGCCAACCAGTCTCCCAGCAGATAGACTTTGGCCCCTCCTACCGTGAAGGCTAAAAGCCCCTTACCCCCTCTGCAAGGAGAGAAGCAACCTAGAATCAAGGAGAAACTTCCTGACAATGAGATCAGTTAACCAGAGGAACAACCTGCCTCCAGAAGTTCTGGGTGTGCCAACACTGGAAACTTTAAAGAAGAGACTGGACAGTCACCTGTCTGAAATGGTATGGGGTTTCCTGCCTGGGCAGGGGGTTGGACTAGAAGACCTCCAAGGTCCCTATTCTGATTGACTGAAGACCCAATCCGCAGGTCATTCCGAAGACTGGGAAAACGAACAACCTCTCCAGGAGCAATCCGTACATCCTGCCCTCCAAAAGTCAGCACCTCCCCCCCCCCACTTTTTTGCGAAGTCACCTTGACCCCACCGAGAGCCGGACGGCACCTGCAACCCTCCCCCCTCCTTTTTTGACCCCAGGTCTTCCAAGAGCCGTAGCCCACGCCCACCACGGACATGCAGCCTCTCACCTGAGAGGATAGCAAGGGTCTCCCTTCTCTTCTCCACCCCCCCCCCAATTGAGAGGGCAGCAGGCGAGGACGGGGGGGCTGCATGGGGCTGCCCCTCTTTTGCACCCAGGCATAGCAGCATCGGTGCCTGCAGAGGAGGGATGGGCAGGAGGATGCCAACACCACCACCCCCGCTCCCGGGACCCCAGAAGACCCACAGCTTCCCCTCCCCCGGCCGGGGCAAAGCCGCCCCTACCGCTGCAGAGCCCCCCCCTCCTGGGCGCCCGCGGGCACCAGGTACGCGCACGCCCCCTCTGCCCAGCCACGGGCCTAGTCCGACTCACCGATCACCTCCTCCAGCTCGTAGTCATCCTTGTTGATGGACCAGGCCAGCGAGCCGGAGTCCTCCGCAGTCATGGCAGCCCCGGCTCCGAAGCTGGGAGGGGAGAGAAGAAGTTGGGCCGGGCACAGCCGCCGCCGCCGCCGCCTCGCAGGGGCCAAACTTCGCCCGGTCTGGCTTCCCACCTGCCTTTGCCCATGCGCGGTGACGTCACGCGCACGGCACGCCGCCCCCGGGTGAGGCGGGACTCCGCGGGCGCCATCTTGAGCGGGTCGTCAGCGCCTCGGCGCCGCCCCTTCCCGGCGCTCCGGAGTTGAGCCCACCCGCCCACTCTCCTCGATCCTTCCCCGGCTCTTGTTTTATCTCTCGAAGGGAAACCCGGCCCTCTTTCAGAGCTTTCCCCGCTGGGGATAGGGAGAGTGGCCCGAGCGACGTCACTCACAAGATGGCGCCGGCGGTCTCAGGCCCCGCCCCTTGGGTCACCGAGGGTGGCCGGAGATTGGCGAAAGGAAGAGAGTGGGGGGGGAGGAGGAGGCTGTCTCGGTTATTGGCTGGGGCGCTGTCAATAACGCTTTGAACCCGCCTTCGCTGCGTAGGGGTGGGATTAACGTTGAGAATAGAATAGAATAGAAGCTGGAAGGGACCTTGGAGGTCTTCTAGTCCAGCCCCCTGCTTGAACAGGAGAACCTATACCATCTCAGAGAAGTGACTGTGCAGTCTCTTCTTAAAAGCCTCCAGTGATGGAGCTCCCACGATTTCTGGTGGCAAACTGTTCCACTGGCTAATTGTCCTCATTGTTAGGAAGTTTCTCCTTAATTCCAGGTTGCTTCTCTCCTTAATTAGTTTCCATCCATTATTTCTTGTCCTGCCCTCTGGGGCTTTGGAGAATAACGTGACCCCCTCTTCCTTGTGGCAGCCCCTCAAATACTGGAACGCTGCTATCATGTCTCCCCTGTTTCTCCTTTTGGTTTAGACTAGCCCACAGGTCGGCAACATGCGGCTCCGGAGCCGCATGCGGCTCTTTGAGCCTTCCCCTGTGGCTCCCAGCCTCCTCTGCCATTTGCAGAGAGAGACAGAGACAGAGAGAGGCACTTGCGCTTCCCTGCTTCTCTCTCTGTCTCTCTCTCTCTCTTTGTGTGTGTGTGTGTGCGTGTAAAAGACAGTGGACTCACGGTTTTCTCCGACAAGCTGAAAAGGGCTTCCTCCTTTTCTGCATCTCATCAGGAAGCAGGAAGGGCAGGAAAGAGCTAGCTAGCCCAGTTATGCTGACTCAGGAATTCTGGGAGTTGAAGTCCATGAGTCATAAAAGAGCCCAGGTTGCCTACCCCTGAGCTTGTTGGAGAACAACTTGAAGCCAGCTTGCCAGGTGAGCAGAAGATCGGAGAGAGGGGAGAGAGAGAGAGAGAGAGAGAAAGAAAGAGAGAGGGGGGGAGGGGGAGAAAGAGAGAGAGGAAAGAGAGAGAGAGAGAGAGAGAGAGAGAG